ACCCCCCAATGCCTCGGCTGCGTCTCTCATGTGGCGTGTAACTGTCTCCAGCTGCAGCAGAAGAGGAGACAGTCTCTCGATTGTCTGTTCTCCCCCAACCTCTCCAGCCTCAGCGACACCGTCCTCCCCACGACACGGAGTCAGCAGAACCTCCCCGATGTGCTGCACCAACGCCTGCAGCAGGCCCAGGCCGTTACTCCACCCAGCCATCGCAGCAGGGCCCCCCGAGGTCCCCCCCTGGGCGCCTGGCAGCTGCGCCCCGAAGAGACTCAGCAGCCGCTCTGGGGCCACTGCATGCACTACACCATGGCGGTCCGCGTTTAAGCTTAGGCGAGGTGCAACGTCAGAGAGCAGTGCAAGCTGCTCATCAAGAAAATGTCTCCTTCTGTCTCCTTCAGTCTCTTCTCTCCCGTCGGGGCCCACACCACGACGGCAGCAAACCTTAAGAAAGCGCCGCAGACGACGGCGGTACTTGTTCACAGCTTCGTACTGCGGGTGCTGCGCTGCAGCAGCCCTGGTTGCCTCTGTCTGCTGCTGCTGCTGCTGTTGCTGATCCAACTGCTGCTGCTGCTCCTTCTGCTCCTGTTTCGCAGAAGCTCCCACGTTCAAGGCAGCGCCGACGACCCGCCAGGGGCCCTCAGCCTCCAGGCAGTTGAGAAAGGGGGGCCCCCATGAAGGCCTCAGCAAACAACAGCGCATGAAGCCCTGCACAGCCCACTCTGCGACAGCAGCAGCACAGAGCTCGTCTGCATGCATCGGAGAGCAGCAGCCCCAACAGCTATCGCGAGGGGCCCCAACACCGAAGGGGGGCATCTCCACAAACAGGGGCCGCCCCCCATTGGAACGCGGGGTGACGGACAGGTGCGACAATACAGCCAGAGAAAACACAGAAAATGAACTCATCCCTGATACTGCTCCTGGTCCTGCTGCTGCTGCTGCTGCTGCTGTTGCTGCTGCAGCTGCTGCTGCAGTTGTTACATCTGCCTCCGTTCCCTCTTGTCTGTGTGCTGCCTGGGCGGTGAGATATTCCCTGCTGTAGGCCAGGAGACCTAGGCGCCGTTCGCTAGCCAGACGCAGCAAACCCACGAAGTAGAGACAGCAGCAACGGAAACAGCTGCTCTCCATCAGCGCTGTCAACCACAACGCCGCCTCGTCTATACACCCTGGCCCCACAGCCGCACCAGCAAACAACCCGCTCCTGCGCAGCAACCTGCAGCAACCCGCATCACAAACAGAAGCAAGTATTACAGCAATTCCTGCTGCTGCTGCTGCTGCTGTGATGCTGCATGCAAATACAAACATGCGCATACACAGACCACGACAGAGTCAAACCCCCACACCCGCACAGAGCCCTCATCCTGCAACCCTACGAAGCAGCAACTGCCCGTGCCGCAACAGGAGTAGCCAAAGCTTCTACTGCTGCCAGAGCCCCCGCCCACCACCCAGCAGCAGTAGAACCGCGGCCCCTCCTCTTCAGGTGTGGAGCCGCCAACGGGATTTCTAAGACCCAAGAGAGAGTCACACAGGCAGTGAGGCTCACCTCAAGAGGACTTGCAGCGGCGAGCTCCGGCGACTGCATGCGGGGGCTTCTTGG